CACACACACACACACACACACACACACACACACACACACACACACACACACACACACACTCTTTAGTTAGCCTATAAAGGGCAAATCTACCCTGTCTTAAATCTTTTGTAAATTAGTTGGTGCACACGTAGAGACATGAGACAAACTTTTCCAAATCTTCCAGGTAATACAGAAGTTTAAATCCCATTTTTAAAAGTGACAAGTCAAAGTTCTGATAAATTTCTCCATAACTGCAGCAGTTTTCAATTCAGGATCTTGAGACTTTAGTCTGCCTAGGAGTTTATTTGTGTGGAAGGTTGTTGGGTCTTTGGCTGATGGGCTGTTTAATATTTTTTTATTCAGAAGTGTCACCAAGTCATAGCTGCCTTCCCAGCTTGGCTAAGGATGTCTCAGTGGCCTGGGATGACTGCATCCTTAATAGGGTGGCCACAGTATATTCTACCCCTCCCACAGTTAGAGTGCTCCAGTTCTCACTCAGTCCTGCCTGCCATGACGCTGATGGAACATTTCAGGAGGCGATGTGCAATCTAGGAGCAGTCCAACCATCAACGGGAAAAACAAATGACACCACCAGTCTCTTATACAACTGAAGCCTCTGGATCAGCTATGAGGCCTTAGGGGTCTGAATGGGAGCTCCTCCAGCTCCTACACTCCCACCTCAAACCTCTGTTTCTACATACTTCATAGAATCTCAGACCCTCATAAGGGATCTGCAGTCACTCAATGTCAAGCCAAAGTCTCATTCATGTCCAGCCTTGTAGCTGAAGGCACCAGGCTTTGCCCCAGGGATACCTACCAGTCCGTTTTGGATGAATACAACAAAAGGTGATCAGTTCAGCTGCTTCCTACCCGTCTGCTGCTCTGCATTGTCTGCTGTCTGTTCCCCACTGTGCCTCAGTTCACATGCTCTTGGCTGGACTGGCCCCTCCAGTGTGGTCAGAAGTGGGGAACAGCCTCAGTCCTGCTTGCTCGGCTTCTGGAGGGAACCACAATCCAGGAGGATCCCAGATGCAACGCAGGTTAGGGAGGGGGTGTGAACTGGGCTCTCTTTCTCCTCTCCCTGGTCACTCTGCCACAAGAGGCATTACCAGCCATTGGCCAGGAGGTTTAAAAGCAGTAATTAATCCAGAAATATACATGCATATTTTAAAAAAATTCCAAGGACCATATTAGTTACTTATACTTGTAAACTTCCTTGGAAGACATATAGGAACCCAGAATTGGTATATTTTGTATTTGCCTGCAATCCCATCTATTTTAAGTTAGCTTTAATTTAAGTGATTAGAATTTACATTTTGTGACTCTAGGTTGCATAGCGTCCTAGGGTCCCACCTTGTTCTTTCAATTCATACTTGCTTATCAAAAGCATCTACTGTTCAATTAATTTTGTGATCATCTGAGCTTTACACTGGGTGCGTCTATCCAGGATGCCATATTGCTGTAGTGACAAGCTATGGTAATGTAGCTTGTCGCTATGGTGATGTAGCATTGACTATCTTCTGACTTTTTCTTAGCTGGTAGCTAGGTCTAAAAGTACAAAGGATCGTGCAAGTGGGTAGTGGGATGTGGGAATTCTGTTCTGGAAGCAAACATTGAGTTTCAGATGGGAAAAGGTACTTTTATTTCTAGAGAAAAATCCTAGACAAAACCAAGGCTGCAAGCTCCCTTGCCCATCATGAGCATTGCAGTTATAGAGTCCTTTCTCTCCAGGCACAGTATATTAGTCTTCCTACAGTTTCTGTAATGATTTCAGAAGATTTCTAGATCCCCTGTTTACAATATGTTGGTTTCTTCAGAACAGTGGACTCATTACTGATTGGCATGATTTCTTTGAATTAACCCATTATCATTTTACATAATTACAATTCTAATGAAGTGTCTGACTCTTCAAAATGCTGGGCTGTTTAGTTATGTTGAGGTTCTTCATTTTTATTAAACATTAAGAAGGCTGGGATGCATTCTTGGTCTTTAGACATGTTCCATATGCCGCAATACAGCAGTATTTTAATTCATTCTGCTTTACTTCCATTCATAGATCGCACGGCTGAACATGTTTCAGCTTTAAATGCTTTAGAGGTAGACAAGTTGAATTTTCATTGCTTCTAAATATGT